ATAATAGGCATCACAGAAACTTGGTGGAATGAGAATAATCAATGGGACACAGTAATACCACAGTACAAAATATATTGGAAGGACAGAACAGGTCATGCTGGTGGGGGAGTGGCACTATATGTGAAAGAAAGCGTAGAATCAAATGAAGTAAAAATGAACCAAACTGTACCATAGAATCTCTATGGATAGTAATTCCATGCTTGAATAATAAGAATATAGCAGTAGGGATATATTACAGATCACCTGACCAGGATGGCGATAGTAACTGTGAAATGCTCAGGGAAATGAGACGCTATTAAAATAAAAAACTCAATAATAATTGGGTATTTCAACTATCCCCATATTGACTGGGTACATGTCACCTCAGGAAGCGATGCAGAGAGAGTTTCTTGACACCTTAAATGACTGCTTCTTGGAGCAGTTAGTCCTGGAACCCACAAGAGGAGAGGCAATTCTTGATTTAGTCCTAAGTGGAGCACAGTATCAGGTCCAAGAGGTGAATATAGCTGGACCACTTGGTAATAGTGACCATAATATAATTAAATTTAACGTCCCTGTGGCAGGGAAAACACCACAGCGGTCCAACACTGTAGCATTTAATTTTAGAAAGGGGAATTACACAGAAATGAGGAGGTTAGTTAAACAGAAATTAAAAGGTACAGCACCAAAAGTAAAATCCCTCCAAGCTGCATGGAAACTTTTTAAAGACACCATAATAGAGGCTCAACTTAACTGTATACCCCAAATTAAAAAACATAGTAAGAGAACCAAAAAAGCCACCGTGGCTAAACAACAAAGTAAAAGAAGCTGTGAGAGGCAAAAAGGTATCCTTTAAAAAGGGGAAGTTAAATCCTAATGAGGAAAATAGAAAGGAGCATAAAATCTGGCAAATGAAGTGTAAAAATATAATTAGGAAGGCCAAAAAAGAATTTGAAGAACAGCTAGCTAAAGACTAAAAAGTAATATCAAAAAATGTTTTAAGTATATCAGAAGCAGGAAGCCTGCTAAACAACCAGTGGGGCCACTGAACGATTGAGATGCTAAAGGAGCACTCAAGGATGATAAGGCCATTGCGGAGAAACTAAATGAATTCTTTGCATCGGTCTTCACTGTTTAGGATGTGAGGGAGATTCCCAAATCTGAGCCATTTTTTTTAGGTGACAAATCTGAGGAATTGTCCCAGATTGAGGTGTCATTAGAGGAGGTTTTGGAACAAACTGATAAACTAAACAGTAATAAGTCACCAGGACCAGATGGTATTCACGCAAGAATTCTGAAGGAACTCAAATGTGAAATTGCAGGACTACTAACTGTCATCTGTAACCTATCATTTAAATCAGCTTCTGTACCAAATGACCGGAGGATAGCTAACGTGACCCTGATTTTTAAAAAGGGCTCCAGAGGTGACCCTGGCAATTACAGGCCGGTAAGCCTGACTTCAGTACCGGGCAAACTATAGTAAAGAACAAAATTGTCAGACACATAGATGAACATAATTTGTTGGGGAATAGTCAACATGGTTTTTGTAAAGGGAAATCATGCCTCACCAATCTACTAGAATTCTTTGAGGGGGTCAACAAGCATGTGGACAAGGGGGATCCAGTGGATGTAGTGTATTTATATTTTCAGAAAGCCTTTGACAAGGTCCCTCACCAAAGGCTATTAAGTAAAGTAAGCAGTCAATGGATAAGAAGGAAGGTTCTCTCATGGATTGGTAACTGGTTAAAAGATAGGAAACAAAGGGAAGGAATAAATGGTCAGTTTTCAGTATGGAGAGAGATAAATAGTGGTGTCCCCCAGGGGTCTGTAGTGGGCCCAGTCCTATTCAACATATTCATAAATGATCTGGAAAAAGGGGTAAACAGTGAGGTGGCAAAATTTGAAGATGATACAAAACTACTCAAGATAGTTAAGTCCCAGGCAGACTGCGAAGAGCTACAAAAGGATCTCTCAAAAATGGGTGACTGGGCAACAAAATGGCAGATAAAATTCAGTGTTGATAAATGCACAGTAATGCACATTGGAAAACATAATCCCAACTATACATATAAAATGATGGGGTCTAAATTAGCTGTCACCACTCAAGAAAGAGATCTTGGAGTCATTGTGGATAGTTCTTTGAAAACATCCGATCAAGGTGCAGCAGCAGTCAAAAAAGCAAACAGAATCTTGAGAATCATTAAGAAAGGGATAAATAATAACACAGAAAATATCATATTGCCTCTGTATAAATCGATGGTACATCTTGAATACTGTGTGCAGATGTGGTCGCCCCATCTCAAAAAAGATACATTGGAATTGGAAAAGGTTCAGAAAAGAGGAACAAAAATAATTAGGGGTATGGAACGGCTGCTGTATGAGGAGAGAGTAATATGACTGTGACTTTTCAGCTTGGAAAAGAGACGACTAAGCGGGGATCTGATAGAGATCTATAAAATCATGAATGGGCGACAGGGGATGGATCACTTGATGATTACCTGTTCTGTTCATTCCCTCTGGGGCACCTGGCATTGGCCACTGTCGGAAGACAGGATACTGGGCTAGATGGACCTTTGGTCTGACCCAGTATGGCTGTTCTTATGTTTTTAAATTAAGGCATCCTTTACTGTATTCCAGCAATGGGTAATGGTCCACAAAAGGTATGGGTTCCAGCAGTGAAAGATCACACAAGATGTTTGTTGTGATATGCACTTCTTTTTATCTAGGCTCCTTTTCGATGGAACCTTATTGATTATCTTTATCAAATACTGTCTTCAAGTACCTGTTTTTAACTATCCTAAATACTTAATGAAATAACATTTCAGTAGATGGCAGTATAACTACAGGATATGGTGAACAGAAACAAACCTACAGTTTTCATTAGCAGTTTGGATTTATCAAGCAGCAATAGCTGCTTCATTGTTAAATATGAAACTAGATTCGTATTATAAACCTGATTCTCAACAGTCTGACCTTAACCTTTGAGGATACCTATAAACGTCTAATACTTTCCTGCTTTCCTTTTTTATTCCTCTAAGTTGCCTCTTATCATTTGCTTTTAAAAACTGGTTTCCCTGTGCCTTTTTTGTTTGATTGAGCCACGGATGCATCTCTTGGGGAATAAGTTCTAATATGCTTAATTATATTTAGATTTTTACATCCTTCTTAAAAAAACCCCAAAATGAACACTCAAGATATCCCTGCTGTCATATAACCCTTCTTCAATTTTAGACATACAATTTGTACATAGCATATTTCCCTCCCTAGCTATCTATGGTATGTTACAGGATAAACATTTAAAAAACAAACACATCATGCTAATTTAAAATGTACAGTAGATGGCATTGTTGTCAAATTATATATTTAATAGTTAACATTTTCCTCTTAAATATATGTAGATTAAACTTTAAAAAACTGCAATAAATAACAAGGTTGTAATAAACATCCAACAACCCAGAGAAGTCTAAAGATAAGGATTGTCAATCAATCTTGAGCTTGAATTTTATGGATTTTTCACTGATTGTGATATCTTTTATTACATTAGATTTTCAATTAAATAAGATTTTTCTTCAAGTTTCTAACTGGAATAATATAAAATATATTTTAACAGAATATAATTTAAATTTTAAAACCAGAATTTAAGATAGGTTGAACAAGTTTTTATTGTTTTTAAGCATTTATAAGACTATTTTGATATTTCACTAATCACATTGTAAGCCTTTTCTCATTAAAGGTTTTATTCAAATTAAAATAAAGTCTTGAGAACTGTATAATTCTTACAAAATCTGGCTATTTTGCTAGTCTGTATATATGAAACTTTGTGGAATCCACAGACAAGAAGCTATATGAAAATCAGTACTGTACACTGTTTAAAAATGTTTTTCAAAGTAATAGTTGGCTTTTAGTTTCTTCAACAGTATTTTATTTTATCTACTTTGTGATCCACAGAGGAAAAGCTCTATATTAGAGCCACTTGTTATATTTAGGTACAGTGTCACCATGAATTTTCAAAAACACAAGCCCATCTCATCTCTAAATTTTAGTAACTTTCAGCAGAAAATGTTAATCACTAATAAAGGCTGCTGTAAGATCTAGAATGTCGTTGATAATGTCTTGCTTCTCTCATTTCTGTGCCAAATTTCTATCCATGAAGAAAATCTAC